AGAGCTACGCTCATAACAATAATTTGTGCTACGAAGAGTATTCAACTCTTAAAATTCTCTCTTTGAAAAAAATTATCTCTCAAAGTATTCTGGTAGAAAATATACAAGAGATTTTTTTTTAAATGGTAATTAAAAAATGGGATTTCAAAACAAAAGAGTTAAAATTTAAGACAATGATACGCTTACCATAAAATCGAAACACCCCACTCCTTTCTTATTTTTCTGAGTAATCTTGTCTTCTAAAATGCAGTAATACGATATTAATATACACAATTCAGCAATTTACACTTATTTCACACTTATTAATTCACATAGAATTACTGCTTATAAACCGTATTATTGCATCTTGAAAATCAAAACAATTTAATGTACATAATTCAGTTTATAAGTGTTGAATTGCTTAATTGTGCATTATCTAATATCGTATTATTGCATTTTGGAATTTAACGAAATTCTGATCAAGTGACCATTTTTCCAATTCATTATATATTATTTATTAACATAAAGAATTGATATGAAAATTAATTCCTAATAAAAATGCAAAATTTACACTAGACCAATATTTTAAAAAATTAAAGACTTCTTAAAATACTCAAATGGTGCAACACAAAGAGAAATAATGAAATGAACGTTACCTGTTACATATACCTCAATAAAACCAGTATTTCATTCTCTCACACTGACCTTATATATCACTCTCACGCATCTTGTACTTGTATCACTTGCCTTCTTCATTATTTTCATTTATTATTCTTCTTTTTTCGTAACACTGTTGATTGGAACACTCAAAACATACAATTTCATTATTATAAATATATATATATATACATAGACAATTTTACTCAATATAATATGTATAACAATATATTGAATTCGGTAATGATGATGATGTTATTTAAGCTGCTGCTGAGTCATAAAAAAAAAAACCTTTGATTATCTTGTCTAGGATACTTAACTTAAATAAAAACGGAAAATTGTTTACCATTTAGAAAAATTTTCATGCATACAATTTCATTAAATATGATGAGTACGTGTGTAAATGTAAAATTTTCTTATATATAGAATTCTATATATGTATATATATATATGTATACACTTACATTTTTTGTAACATTTTAAGTATAACATGGTTATACTGATTTCTTTTTTCTGAATTATGTTTGTATGTATACTGCTCATATGTAGGTACGTACCTACATTATATATGAATGTTAAAATGAAAATATTTTATGACATTTGAGACTTCATTTTCTTTTCATATATACGTACATATGTATATACCTAAATATATGTTGATTTATTTGTTTTTATATTGCAATATAAGTACATACATGCATACCTAAATATTATAGATTAAGATGGGGGAAAAAAAATGGACGACATAATTTCACGGTCGTTTTATATATATATATATAGGACAAAAAATTTTATTTTTCATTTTCTTCTTTGAAAGGATCCAAAAAAAAAAAAGAAGAAACCAAGAGCAAAATAGGTACCTACTTTAAATGAAAATGAAATAAAAGGCAAAAAAAAAATGAGAAATAAAATAGAAAAATAAATAAAATCTGTTTGATTGCATGTAAGTATAGTGAAAAACAGAATGAAAGAAAAAAAACATTATATAGAAAATGAGTGACATAAAGAATTTTTTATGAGTAGAATATTTTTTAAGGGTCATCAGGATATAGAAACAGAATAATTATGACAGATAGGTTGAATACAAACAAAAAAAGAGGATGAATGAAAAAACAAAATAGCAAAAGCAGTACGAATACTAGGAAACCAACAACAAAATAGCACTAACGAGAACAACAAAAATTTCATATTTTTGGATATAGGACGACTAACTTTTGAAGGAGAACAACAATATTAATAATAAAAAGTAAAAAGAAAGAGAAAAATAAAAACATTTTTCTCTTATTTTTATTATTTAATTTTTTTTTTTGATAAAGGATAAAAGGACGACATTATACTGTTATCATTCATAGTAATAAATTTTCAAGATTATTACTTTTTTTTTTATTTAATTATTTTATTCTTGTTTTATTTTTTTTTTTTTTTATATAAAAGGATATTACTTGTGTTTCATGGAATATTAAAATGTAGTTATGAAAAAAAAAATAATTATGTGTATAAAATAATGTGCATAAAATGTGTTTGTAATGGACAACTATAGGGTATGAAATTTGCACATTTGAATACCTTTTAAGGTATTTAAAGTTTTCTCAATAACCTTCCAGAAAACTCGAATTTTTCTATGAAAATTTAAAAAATTTTGCCGAAAAATTGAAAGTAAATTTTCGCAAGAAGTAAAAATATTCAAATATTTTTACAGTGATCCTCTCAAAACAGCGGTTATTTTTACTTTCTCTATATTTTTGACCATATTTTCGACCTATTCATATCATATTAATTTTCTATGCTTTAGAATATAGACAGAAGTAGAATTAAATTTTAAGATCTGACAACATATTTTTTATTTTCTTTATTTTAGACTGTATCTTCCTCAATCAGCACTACATTTTATCTATACACACTGTTTTCCACAAGTGTCCAAGATATTTATTAAAAATTTATTATAAATTAAGTATTAAATTTTGTAATACCTCTTAAAAACCCTTGGTATTCACTAATATTAAAGAGATGAGATATAATATTATTTACTAGGAAAAAAGTCCATATATTAATTTCAATTTTCTTGAATTCATTATTAATTTATAGTTTGAAATATGATGCCTTTAAGGTATTTCTACGAAAAAAAAAAATATGTTTGTATATGAGAATCATATTATATAAGAACATTTTAATAAGAGTAAGTTTAAAATTCAGGCATTCAATAAAATATTTTTTGTTTTTATTTGAAATCCAAATAATAAAATCTTATAAAGAAATATTTTATATTAATAATAAAAAAAAAGAATTCTGATGAATACACATATACGAGTATAGCATAATATAATTTTATTAAAACAGGAAATTTTAATGTGTATTAGTGTGTAAATATGAAATTACATGATATTTAATTGCTTTAAGATATTTTATTTATTTATATTTAAATATTTAAATGATTTATTTATTAAAAAATATATGATAAAATTTTACATAAATTTTACATTATTAAATTTAGTTATACCGTAATATTATTATGTTATATTGAACATAATATTCGTTTTAAGGATGAAAAGGATCAGAATAAATTGATTTATAGAAAATATAATTAATATTATTATATGATAGGATTAAAATAATAATAATAATAAATTTATTTATTTTCTTTGTCTTTTTATGGTTTATATTAAAATTTCAGGATATTTTTATCTAAATATTTATTTGTTAATGCATAATATTTAATATAATTCTGATTTATGCATTTTGTTAATGTATTAGTAATACAGATTTAAGTATATCTAATAAAACTAGTTCAATAATATTGATTTGTGTTATTTAAGATCTTATTATAATATAATGTATTTGTGTATAAATGAATTTCTGTAATAAAATTTTATAAATTAAATTAAAATATTGAAAAATTCTTAAAAATTCATTTAATTAAAGATATAAAATCTAAATATGGAAATAAAATTAATAATTAATATTATGCTGCAAATAAAAGGTTTGTGGTTTGTGGTATTGCACAGAATTAAATTTTAAAATCATACCATATAACACTTACCAAATTATGTTAAATTCTATTGTTAGACTTTTATTGTTTTGGTTGGTTAAAATTGCATATATTTCAAGATTTAATAAAAATAATCCTTTAAAAGATAATTGAAGGTCAATTATATATAAGAAATAAATAATTTTTAAATATGCATACATTCAAAGAGGACAAAATAGAACTTGTCACTAAAATATTTTATACAAAATAAATTGACGTGTTAGAGAACATGAAACTAAGTTAGTGGTGTCACTTGTTTCGTGATACTTATAAGTAACAGAAAACAGAACATAGTTTGCTTTTTACCAGAATGGTGAGCGACGAAGTTGAAAGCCCTTAAGCAACGGTTCAAATTTGGTAGACTTTTGTGGAACTAATGACTTATGTATGGAATCAATGAACTTCTTAAAAATAAAACACAGTAATAAGCTGTAGCAAAAATATTTTTTCGGAAATATTTGAAAAAAATTTTTTGGAAAAACTTTTACAAAAAATTCTTTCCATGTAACTTAAATCAGAAATTTTTAAATTTCAAAATTCTAAGCTGTCTCGCTGCAAGTTAGTTATTATTTATACTTCAATAGAGACACTTATAATCCTAAATATTTACTTCAATATAGAATTTAAAACTGACAGGTATAGTCTTTTAAATTAATAACAGCGAAAAAATTCAAAAAATTGCATACTTTTAGGGTGTTCTCTTTTTCTCCTTGAAGAAAATCTTATATGTACAAGTTCCATGTTGGAAAGTAAAAAAATTTTTTTTAATAAACTTTAATTTTTAGTACTCCAGAAATATATTGGTATAAAAACAAGTGCAAGCCTACTCAATTTTAAGATAATTCTGTTGAAATTCGTATAACAGTTTATTCTAATTTCGAAGAAATTAGGATAAATTCAGGATAACAGGATAAATTATCATTTTCATAATTTTATCAAATTGTTATTTAAGGGTCATTCACCTTTTTCACCTGATTTGTAATTCAAAATGTGTTTAAAATTTCTGTTTTATAACAGTTATATTGATCTTAACAAATTTGAACAGTTCCATTCAATTATTTGACTTGAGTTTTGTATATTGACGTCAATTTTATTCCTGAAATATCCTGGAAAAATTTCCAAAATTATTATGTATAATAAAAAATCATTAAATGTCAAAACATTTATATATATATATATTTTTATTTGAATTAAACTGTACATATTCTTTTTTATTTTCATTTTTTTTCTTCATTTTTTTTTTTTATTCTTTGACTTAGTATACTAATTGTCTTTATTCACAAGATTTTTCCTTAAGAAGTTTTTTTTTTTTTGCATTTTTTTTTGTTTTTTTTTTGTATAATTAACTTAAATTTAAATATATGTATATTTATATATTTGTATATAGAAATATTTATATACATGTATATTTTATATATATAAGAATTTTTTTTTTTTACTATTATTTTATACAAATTGGAATTTTATGTATAACACTTTTTTTTTCCAGTTACATTTTCAGTAATTTTTTTTTTTTATTGAAGCCTTTATTCTTAAACTGATTTTTTTTTGTTTTTCTGCATTTAAATTTATTATTTATTTATTTATTATATAATATAGTTGTTCTTGTTTACTATAAATAACAAAATCCATTATTCTTAACTTAAAATCCTTTTTATATTTTTGAGCCGTTATCGTTTTTCTTGTGTAATTTTCTTTTTGTTTTATTTGTTTTCATTCTTTCTTTTTTTTAATTTTACTATTACATGATCGATAATTTGTCTATATAATAATAAATTTTGTGATATTATCTAACAGGTGTATATATTATTATATAATTATTTTTATTTATTTTTATATTATATTTAATTATGTAAATATATGCATATGTACATATTATGTTTTTTTTTTTTTTGTCTTTTAATTATATAATAAATGAATATATGTATATATATAAATAATATTAAATCCAAAAATGTGGTCAATGTTGTGATGTAACTTTATAGTGACCTGAAACATAGAGAGAGAGAGAGAGAGAAAGAGAAAGAGAGAGAGAAAAATTATTATATTTTGTTGTTTTCAAAATGAGGTTAAAAAAAAATATTTATTATAATAAATTATAAAAGTAAACAGTTTAACAATGATTAATAATGGTTATTTTATTATTTTATCGGGATTTTCAGGATTGTTTTATCTCAAGGATATTATATATAATAAGGATTATCTCACATTACAAAATATTACATGATATTCGTGTGAAAGGTAAGTAGAAATAGTGTTGCTTCTTTAATTTGTACTACTAAATGTGTTGCATACTATTAGTAAAGTTTAAAATTATTACAGGTGGCTCTTGTAATTAAATTTTTTGTACGGGCCAAATTCATATTTTTTCCATATACAAAGAAATAATCAAGCAATCTCCTTGAATTTAAATACTACAATTGAGGATGTTGAAAAAATGAAATTTAGGGTAGTTGAGAATGTTAGGGCTCGTGAACCGAATTTTCACATAAGATCATGTGATAATTGAGTATATGCAGTGCTAAGTAAAAAATGACAGCTAGTTGGAAATTCTTTTTGCACAGAATATTTTCTTCGCCAGATATTAAATTAATTGTATCTCGAAATTTTCAATAATTTACAATATTAATGTTTGAAAATTAATATTGAAATAGTATTAATGCTCAAACAGAATCTCTTATAGTACCTAACTAATTCTCCAAAATAGGAGAAGTTTTGAAATATGCTAGTAGGCAGTAAACATAAAAACATGTCTAGGCTTTTTACAACATCTGGTTTCATACAATATAACAAACTCAAATTTGTTCTATTGTTCTTTACAATTTGCCTTCATAAGCTAGCTAGTAAGGTAGTTTTTCATATTTCGGTCAATTGCTCTTTATCTTCATTTCTAAATGTATTTCCAATTGTTATTTGTCACCTGTTCATTACCTGCATGCATATACTATATTTCATATTAATTGAAATACTCAATAGAAATTTGTAAAATGTTTCAATAGTAAATTTTTCCCTTTAAGTTCTTTAAATTTTTGTAAACATGTTATACTTGTTTGTTAGTGTAAAATTTTCAGAATTCCTTCAAGAGAAAATATTTGTTTTGTATATTTGAGGATATATAGAACTCTATATAAAATTCTAATAAAAATTATTATTTATTTTAAAGCTGTAAATAGAAGAATAAGAAAAGAAAGTCCTTTTAAATTTTTACATTCATAATTTATGAATATTTTGAAAAGATGATAAGGATAAGTTAAATTTTCACTTTTAATTTAATCAAAGTAAATATTAGCATTACTAGATTAATTTTTGTTGTTGTTGTTGTTGTAGTTTTTAACTTAGAAACCAATTTTCCATATTTCCTAGCTATATTTTACTTTGTAATAATTTTTTTTTTCCTTATGGTTTTTTTTCTATAATGTTGATTCTCTTTTTAATTTAATATCCTTATAGAATTTTCATTATTTTAACTTTATCCAGTTTTCCATTTTCTCTTTCACATTTTTTTTTTTTCAATTTTTTTTATGTTTCTATTTTTTGTTTCTTTTATTTTTAGTTCTTAAGAAAAATTTTTTTAATACAAAATCTACGATTGTTTCTTTTTTGGTTGCTTTTTGTAGTTATGTGCACGGTTTAAATTCTAAATGGAGCCCGAGGCAAATATACGCGAATTTCTTTGAATAAAAATTTAGTTGTTTATACAATAATAAACTATGTATATAGTATATATTATATAAAATGTAAATATATAATTGTATTATGTTGTTTTTTTAATAGAAGTATAAGAATTTAGCTTAGTATACATACAGTATTGTACTTTAATACATGGCTCTGCTAATATCAGATTCAATATAATTCTTCAGACTTTTTTTTTTCCGGATGATAACTAGAGTAAAAATAAGTTTCAATTTTGTTATTATATTCCCGATTAGAGGTACACAATTAAATATATGAAAGGGAAAATTTTGTTACGTCACTAAATTCGAGATTCGTTACAATTAATTTGTTACAAGTAATTCGAGTGACTTAACAATTCATTTTACTAGAATATTCAATTATTTAATGAAATATTGAACAGTTTATGTTCTATGTTTTATTTTTTAAGTTAAGATATCTTCAAAAATTGACATCAGATATCATGGTGCAATTTAAACAATAAAATTTTTTAACATTTTTAATTAGGTGCACCAGGAAAATCATACTAAAAATTGTGTTACGTATAGATTGTAGTAAAATAGTTTTAAATGATGTTGTTACAATTAAAAAAAACACAAATCTTTCTTAAAGCTATTAATTTTTGGTTTAAAAGAAATCAATGCCAAAAAACTTTTAATTGAAATGCGAGTAATCTGCGAATCATCCGACAATGATTCGAACGAATGATTTGCGTCCGACTCAGAACATGTAAGTGTTATTGACAATTAAAGAAAAATTAAAATGAAAATAATTTTTGCATTTAATAGATGACATGGATTCAATACCCTATAATATGAAAACGTTCTATAATAGTTGATTTTCTGTTCATGAACAAGTTTTATAATTGGCAGCCAATTTGGAAGGTAGGTGAAGGAAAGCCATTTTCTAAGCTCTAAAACATATTTTTTTGTATTTTATTTGAAATTGTAATGACATCATGCGCTTAATTAAAGGGTTAATTTAAAGCAGTCATATTCAAGAAGGATTAAACCGAGAAGATTTCATTCCCTAAGATTAATTAATGGAGAAACAGTCGAGAAAATTCCACAAATATACATGATTTAATTTCTTTCTTTATCTACTCTTGAATATTCGTGCCTTTTTTTCATCTAATTTTTTTTTTCCTTTTAAATTTAAGATAAGTAGAATTATTCGCTCCCTCGTCATTACCAAAAAAAAAAATTGCCATTCTTTTGAACTCATGTTTTCTGTGTACTTCTTACTTTTTTGCTTCGTTCCAAAAGAAAAATTTCTTATTTTCATTTTTTTTTTTTGGAAAAAGTCAATACAGTAGATAAAAGTATGTATGTAGTACTCATATAGAGAATATAACAACAAAAAAAAAAAAAGAGAAAAAAAATCTTTTAAATTATAAGATAATCACTTTAAGCATCGCTAACTTTAAGTTTAGAGAAAATTTCCCATTCTCTTTTGGAATGAAACAAAAGAAAAAAAAACAAGAAATTTTTTTTTTTTTTAAACTTAGAAGTATTAACTTTGATCCTTGATAATTTTCATTTTTTTTTTCTATAAATATAAATAAGCATACAATATTTATAAGTATGTACGTGTGTGTGTGTATGTAGCTACAGTCTCTGAGAAAAATGAACAAAATAAGATTTTCTTTTATCTCTTAGTGTTTATATAGATAATTGTACATTTTTTCTCATATACTGCAGATTATTCGTTCTTTTCGATATCTCATTAGTATTTAAGCGCAATGATATGGAGTAGTAGAAGTATTTCTTTCTTAAAAGTCATTGATCCTGTTTACATTAAGAAGTTTTCATGAGAGTTTAATTAGTAAAATTATTTTTCATATACGCAAACACTAGAAAGAATAAAAATCTTATGGAAATGAATATTTTGCTGTCGGGCAAATGTTATTAACAGAAAGAGTAAATAATTTCTGTTTATGTGAATATGAGTTTAAAATTTGGTATTAGATGGAGGTCTTAAGGGCATGATATCGAATATTTATGTAAAATTTTTTGTTTTTTTATCACAATGGAATAATTTTTTTTTTAAATTACTATAGATATTTTAATGTTTAAAATTTTTGTGTGTGTTTTTAACCCATTCCATGAACATTGAAATTCAGTTTGTTTGTGAATCATATATAGTAACCTCGAGACTGTTCCTTATTCACTAGTGTGTACTGATCTATGACTATGGACTTTAACAATAGAATTAACTACCAGTGGATTTTACCATTTCATCATTTTTTAAAAATATAATTAAACAATTTCCATGAAATAATATTGTGTGGTTTGGCAGTTGGGCAGCATGGTGAACAAACAAGTTTTTCATGAAAGTAAAGGGCTGACAAATGAAACTTTATTTGTGAATGGTTTTAAATTTTCCTATAATTTTCTTATAAGGAAGAATATAATTAACTGAATTTAACTTGAATTCCAAAACTAATATTTGACTTCTGTTAACCAACAGTATTAACTAATATTTGTTTCATGAAAATCGGGCTCTAGATACTTAATCTTTGCTAAAAATTGAAATTACATTATTCAAGGTATATTTACTATAAAATTTTCAAAAACGTGTACTGGAAACAGTTTCAAGAATACGTGGAAATTTGGAAATATAAAGCAGGAAATCGATAATAGCTGGTATGGGTAATAAGCTGGTCATACCAAAATTTACGTTTGTCCACACCAAACTAATATTTGTAAATTATAATATTGAGACCAAGAGGTTATTGCAAATTTAATTTTTTTCCAATTTATTCAAAGATCTTGTTGCTTGAAGAAAATACTCGAGTCAATTAATTTAACACAATTAGGGGGACTTTAAACTACAACATTTAATGAACTAGTTTAAATTAGTTAAAAATTATTTTTAAATATTCTAAACGTTAAAATTAAAATTATATAAATAAATTTTATTGGAAATAATTTTCATTTTGAATTAATAAGAAACAAACAAGAAAAATTTTAAAACACTTTATTTTTTTTTTTTTCTTCCTTAATAAGCTTTTCCCTAAAAGAAGAAAAACACAAAAAAATTGCGAGCAATACAAAATCATAACGATGATGAAAATGTGCAAAAAATTTGTAAGAAACAAGAAGAAAATTAGCAGAAAAAAAAGATGGTATAGGGTAAAAAAAACACAACTGAGAAAAAATGAAAAAATCTAGGATGGTGTAAGAAGTTTAAGGAAGGAAATGAAACAAAAAACAAGAAAACATTATAATAAGCAAAAGAAATGAGATGATTTTTTGGGGTAAGTATAACTAAGTAAGTAAGACCCAGTTAAAGGTGTTAAGCTTATTGTTTACTTAAAAACACATGAACATTTTTTTGTTTCGTCTTATTTTTTTTTTTTGCTCCTCGCCTTATATATACGAAGAGAGTATAATTCGACAACAACAATAGCAACAACAACAACAATAATAATGGAAGCTAAAAAAATTAACATCAGGTGATGTTTTGATTTTTTAAGATGTTAAGTAAATGTACTTAAGTGAAATTGTCGTATATTAAACACAAAAAACAACAACAAAAAAAATAAGAGCGAAGGGAAAAATTTATAGAAGAGAATAAAATGGAAGTGAAATGTATAACAAATTCATTGTTCATTAATATTAAGCATATTGTATAACAGGTAAATATTTAAGTGTGTGTTTTTATATACAAAATAGGTGAAGTATAAAAAATATTTTATAACCCAGTTAAAACTACACCCTTAGGGTATTTAAATGGGAAAAATACACACACACACACACAAAATACAATTAATATCAAAGTCTCATTAGTATTTTATGTGTAATTATAAAAAATAGAACAATTTTCTATATTATAAGTTTATTGGAAACAAAGGTAAAAAAACAAAAAATAAGGAAAAAAATCGAAGAAAACAATAATAAAATTTACCTTTGTTAAATGTACCGAGAAAAAAACTTTTTATTTTTTAAATTATTCGTAGCTCTTTCAAAAACAAAAATATTAAAATTTTGTAATTAAAATTCTAAGAATTTGTACGAAAAAGTTGAAAATGTTTTCGAAAATTTTTATTAAAATATTTTTCTTTTTTTTTTGCTATAATTATTTTATTCATTTCCGTGTGTATGTTTATTTGTATGTGTAAGATACATCACTTTTTTAGAAATTTTAAAAAAAAAAGAGGAAAAAGTAGAATAAAACAAGTAAAAAAAGGATGAATTTTAAAAAATTGTATACTTTTCTGGAAAATAATTTTCAATTCGAAAAATTTGAATAAAATGCGAAAATTTTTAAAAAAATTTCAAAATTTTCGAAAATCAACAAAATTTTTTTAAAATTATTATTAAATGTTTTTCGTTATAAAATTATAAATTTAATTAAATTGAGAGGATTTCCCAATTAAATTCCTTGAAAAAAACTTAAATTGCACTAAAGAAAATTTGTATTAAGAAAATTGTCCCAAAAAAATATATTGCAATTTCCTTAATAAGTTTCTTACGCCTTGGATTACAAAAATTTCAAATTTGATTAATTGGGTATTAATTTTTGCTTAACTATTATTGTAATGCCTATGTACTGTTATGTAAACTGTATTGCAATTGATTTAATTAAAAATTTTCTTTGACTAATGGTATTCAAATGAAATTTTGCATACTTTTGGGGGGTTATATACTAATATGATTAGTGATTTTAATATTCATAAATAAATTTTATTAAATTTAAAATTAAAAATTACCTTCTTCTACCCGTTCTTCCCCTACGTAATGATGCTCTTCTCTTTCTTCGTAATTTTCGATAGGAGAAACTTTGCGGTGATATTGTATAGTCTTCGTCAAATTCCATTTCATTTTTTATTAAATTTTGTAAATTTAATTGGCAGTCCTGTAATTATTTGTTTTTTTTTTTTTGTTTTTTACAAAAATTTTATTTATATATTTCATTTGGAATATGAAAAATAATATATTTGTAATTTAATTGAATAGTTTTTACCTCTAATGTTCTAAAGTGCCATCGAATATCTGTTGATACTGATGATATTATTGTACGATCTCCTCTGCATATTCTTAATTCTGGCCAACATTGGCATTTTTTATTTGTTATTTCACATCCTGGTTCTAATAATATTGTCTGATCATTTGTACAATTAAGATATGTTTGTGACAAAAATGGAAGCTCTATAGAGGCAAGAGAAAAACAAAAAAGAAAATGAAAAAATTAATAATGTTAATTGAAAAATTTCGCATTTTGGAAAAAATTTAATTAAAATTAATATTTTATGTAAAAATGCATTTATTTATTGGTGATTATTAAAATTTTATTTTATTTTAGAAATTTTAGATATTTAGACATGACCCTCTTAACATGTCTGTAATGTGAACAGCACTTAAGTAGCATTTAAATTATTCAAGTAAATTTTTAAAATTCTTTTGGAATTCGAACAGGGAGTTGCAATTCTAATTAAAAATCAAAAAGCAACCATCGTTGAATTTCAATATTTCATTATTAGTTTAATTTTTATTTTGTGTTCTCAAAACTTTATCATTCACAATTATTTAAATAAAAAAATCAAAATACAAAACAACAAAAAATTTATTTCCCTGAAAAAATCCTGAATTATTTTTAACGGAGCGGATAAAATATTTTCAATTTTTCCATGTACTTCTAAAACAAAATCTACTTAAAAACCTTTTAAAGGACATTCTCAAGATAATCATTCTAAACATTATAAATTTTTTCAGATAAAATATGAAAATATTTATAACAAGAAAAAAGTAAAAAGCAGGAATACCACTTATACCTGTCTAACACAGTTGGTTATACACAAAAGAATGAAAAAAAAATATAAAATAAAAAATATATAAAAATTAAAATTCGCTGATTTCCGCGAGTTTTCTCCTCTTTTGGGAATTTTTGCCTAATGGATTTTCGTATTCCTTCTATTTTTTTTTTATTATTATTGTATTATAACAAGTTTTCTATTTGTTTTTGTAATTTTTTATGTTGTACCTACACAAAATCCCTAAAAAAATATTCATAATATGGGATTATTTTGAATTTTTAGAATGTGTTCCATTTTCTCTTACCATGACTGTCAAGAAAAGTATATACACTTAATTGTGATAAATAAAAAATTATAAGTAGAACAAGTAATGATTATGGAAATTTGAAGTTGTCCGAATGGGGCTGTTATTTTGCATTAAAAATTGCAAGGAAGCATTATAATTTAAGGCGTCGACCCACTCTTGTTATATTTAAATATTTAAATAAAAAAATACTTTACTTATTTATGTAAGTAGTATAATGTAACAAACAATTTATATTTGTGTTACTTTATATCATTTGAGACTTATAAATTTGTAAAATATCAACGGCAGAATGAAATAGGTTATTTTCAGGAAAATTGCATACTTTCAGGGACTGACTTAAACCACCTAAAAATATGCAATTTTATAGTAGTTTGAACACATTTTGTTATGGTCACAAAATATTCCAAAAAAAAATTCAATAATATCGTGTACTTTGAGCTAGTTTTAAAATTTGCGACAGGAGCGGTCGGTACTTGTATAGAAGGTACCCCGTAAAAAAATTAATATACGCAATAAAATTTATGAAAAACTTGAATTGACCATGATATTAAAAAATTTCCTGAATTAATATACTGTTATTCAATAATGATGCATTGAATACATATGAGAAGTCAAAAACTTGAAATATTTTTCATTCAAAATTTCTTTGTTGTATCACAAAAAAAAAGAACCTATTAAATCGGCTGATTTTGCATTTATAATTTGAGTTTCATACACACTTTTCATATAATATAAAATCCAGAAGCAAAAAAAAATATAACAATAGAAAAACCAGGAATTTGAATGCTTTATAAAAAAATACATTCAATTGCGTAAATCTTATGGCGGATAAACATGAACGAAAAAAAAAACAGAGAGCCGCGTCATAAAAGTTTATTTTTATAAATAAAAACAGAACCGCTATAAGATGAGGGAAGAAAACTTTAAAAAAAATTTCATTGAAAAAAAAAAAAATAACGACATTTTCCTGGGGACATTTTAACAATATTTTAGCTTTTGGGTGTATTTTTATAGCAATGAAACTCTTTAAATCCATTAAATATGACGTTGTATTTTAAAATAATTTTTTGGTTTATGTTTCAACTTTATAACATTTTTTTTTTGTGTTGTTGTTTTGATCTGGTAACTTTTAAAGGACAAAAAAATACTCGTACACGTGCAAAATGTTATTTTTTTTTTTATGGGCGGATTTAAAAATATCAACTGTAAATTTTTGTGTATAACCTGTTAAAAATTTTTTTTTTTTTGTTTTTGTTTTTTGTTTTTTGAAATGTAATAATCTTTTATGTATTTAGGCCTTAATTTTAAATTAAAAGTGGTATGATGTTCATTGCATTTCAGTTTCATTTATAATTTTTCAATTTTCCGTGCTTTGTCTTACAATAGAGCAATGCCAATTTGCAAAATTAACGGGTTACAAAAGCAAGCAAATTTATAATCACGCTACAAAGGGAGTATTGCTTATGGAAGCACCTTATTATGGAGTTAAGAGAACAAATCTTATGAATGGACACAAGCATATCAAAACTTAATCATCATATTTTCAAAATACAAAATCCTTATGCGTTAAAACACCAAGTCCTTATAAACAAAATTTAAAACAAAAATTTGGTTTTTCTTTTTTTCATTTTAGCTGTAAATTATGTATGGTTTATTGTTATGTGTATACAACATATAATATATATTTAAATTTTTAATGTTATGCAAATATACATATACATAATATAATTTAAAATTCTTGTCTAAATAGAAATTATGCTATGATTAAAGGAAATTTCGCAGACAGCATTTTTCCATGCATATTATTAACATTATTATGACTGACTTATACAGACAAAGAAATCTTATATATAATTTATGTTTAGAATACAAACATAATAATTCTAAATTCTAATAATGAAAATGTGTAAACAAGAACATCTCATGTTCATTTCTGAGTGTCTATTAAAATATGATAAATTTTTTGAATTCTAAGACTAAATATGTGAAAAGGATATTTTATGTTATATACAAATTCAAATATGGCAATGTGGGATTCTTCTCAAATTTTTAAATTTAGTTTTTAAAAAATTGCATTCAATTTAATGAATTAATTTTGAAAAGCAGAAACACGTTTTTAAAGAAGCAAATCTATAAAGTTAAGACCCAATGAACATTTTTAAATTAACCATATTTTATTCAAAATATAAATGGTGCCTTTTCCGACAATTTGAAAGCCAGTAACTCATATTAAACCCATACTTCGGAATTGTTCTATTTGGATGGATTCCTCACTATTTTACTACATCATGTTAAATACTTTTGTAGACACTATATTATTAAAAATCCCTTAAGATTATTAAAATTTTATGTAAGAAAAACAACAAAAATGGGTCATTTTATCATTGAAATTAAATATGAATTTTTTAAATTTGTAAAATTTTTAAAAAAGGACTTTATTAATTTAAGAAAATAACAAAAAAAATTAAAAAAATTACAATAATTTTCAGACCTCTATTCAAATGACACAACCTCTTTATTTTAACATAATAAATTTTATTCGCAAATAATCTCCATCTGTCTTCATATTTTATAAACTAAAAAGAAAAATTTGAAAACAAAAAAAAAAACACATTTTCCATTTTCGAAAATAAATATTTTTTTTTTTAACTTCATTTAAATAAATCAGGTAAAAATGAAAAACAGAAAATGGTTAAAAATGAAAAAAAAAAGTTGTCTTGACCCACTCTAGGATATTTGTTTTGTGTTTTCTAGATTTTTGTTTTCTTGTTTTTCTTATTAAAGCAGAAAAATACCATAAGTCCTCGAAATTTCAATTTATTTAATTTATTTTTTTTTTTTAAAATATAAAAAAAAAATAAATTTCTTTTCATCTAAGACATCATGTGGCTTTTTTCTGGTAAGTGTTGAACGGTGGAGAGGGTAGAGAGAGGCGAAATAGCCTTCTGACCAGAATATTAATATTTATTGTATGTCTAGATGATATTTGCATATAAAAATGTAATTTTATAGAATTTGAAATTTCATTAAAAACCAAACAAACTGGCACAAATAATTTGCATTCTAGGAGTGACAAAATTCAAAAAAAAATGTTGAGAAATATAAAAAAGTTTTCTTGCAAATTTTCAATTTCCATTCAATCCATTCAGTTTTATAGAATTGAATACTTAAAAAATTTTCTTCTTCATTAATAATATTATTAGACCATGCATTAAGAACTTACACACAGTTGTATTAAATTTCTGAATGTAGAGTTCATTCATAATTATACTCCACACTTCATACTCCATTTACTTGCTAATACAAAGAAGAATGTAAAAATGAACCATTTAGCATAGACATGAACCGTTTTAACTCATCGTGTTGTAATTACAGGACGGAATATTTTGAAGAACTTGAATTTTATTTTAATTTCGGAATTATTTTTGAACATAGACAACAACCACTTTAGTTCATCGTATCGTCATTATAGAATCAAATAATTTGATGTCCTGAATTTTATTTTAATTTTAAAAGTATTTTTATTGAAATGTTAAAAAAAAAATATTCTTCAAGAATTAATTTTTACAATTAGCTGCTAAAGTAAATATTCTATAGACGAATATTCCTTAAATTATAATCGTAATTCGAGAAGTAAAATAAATAAATTTTGTTCTAATGCATATTATAGTTTCAATAGGTCATAATATGAGTTTAATGTATTACAAAGTGGAATGGAATTTTAGTAGGTCAACAATAATGAATGCATTTTTATAAATTCGGAATTTTTTTTTTTATTAGCTTTTATAGCCATTTAGATTTTAATTTTTTTGTAAAAAACATTCTGCTTTAAATCTTATAAATGCATTCCAACATTTTGAATTAAATGTGCATATATACAAAACTAATAACAAAAATTTTTTTTTTCTGCTTTATGAACTTACTTTACACTAAATTTCTTTCCAGGTCCCCTACAGACAAGTAATACTAACTCATACATAATATAAGGGGTGTATAAAGAAAAAATACAAAAGCAAATCGTATAAAATAAAATATCCTACAAGGACATTTCACACACGCTCCATAAATTTAACAACGAAGTCAATTTC